TCCGGTGTGGATCAGCGTGGAATTGTTAGAACCAGGAGTGTTCAGGATGAGTCATGGGCTGTGACACGGGCTGCTGTGGCCATGGGACTTCCCCAGCCTTCCCTCCCGGACACCCCCACCTACTCAGAGCCCCCACCCCCCCATCCCCGCAGCACCCTGTGCTCACCTCCTCTTCTTTGCTGCCTTCTGAAAGGCCTGCACCACCACGCAGCTAGTGTAGGCTTCGATGTACCTACAGACAGCACAGGAGACACCCTGCAGGCCCAGCCCACGGCCTCAGACCCAAGCCCCTGCCCTTCCGGGGTCCTCGGACCCCACTCACCGAGTCCCCGCAGCCCTGGCCCAACCAGATAATTCTAACTCAGTCTTTCCTCCCTGGGAGGCCCCAAGGCTCAGGTCTGGGGTGTCTGTGATTGTGCCAGGCTAAGGCCCCAGGCCCTGAGGCTGACCCACCCCAGACCGAACCCAAACCTAAACCTGACCCGGGGAGCCCTAGGCCCAGGACGATCCCCCCGCCTTCCTCGCCGCCGTACTCTACGTGCACCCGTAGAACGCGGTCGGCGCCACACAACAACAGCAGGGATTCCAGCCCGGCGGAGTCCTGGTGGCACAGCCTCCTCCTCAGCGAGTGCAGGCTCTCCTCCGTCACCTCCCAGAGCTGCTGGGAGCTCCTGTGTAGCTGCTGCAAGAGCCGCAGGCACTCTCTGCCCTGGGGGTCCGAGGGCTCTGGAGGAGGGGGGGCGGGGCAACCACGCTGTGAGGGGGCAGGGCCTCTCCGCCTCGAGGGGAGGGGCCCCCACAGCCCAGGAGCCTCGGCCAGGGTTCTGCATCCTCCTGGGGTCTTTGGCTCTGGATAGGAAGCTGATGTGGCCCCCTGGAGCTCAGCAGGGACAGGCAGCCGGAGAGCCGGGCAGCACCCTTGAGGAGTAAGTGGGGCACATGTCCCCCCCCCACTAAGCAGGGACACCACGTACACTAACTCCCCTGAGTCTCTAGACTTCCTGGGGTCTGGGATGCGGGGTCTGTAAGGTCCTATGGTCCCCTCCCTCTCACAGATGAGTGGACAGAGCCCCTCAGTGGAAGGCACCTGACCAAGGTCACTTCACAAGTGAGACCCAAACTGGAAGTAGAAACTCAGCATCCTGCTTTCCAGCCGTGCCCTGGGTGAGAGCAGGCTGAGAATCCAGGCAGAGCATCAGGCCTGTGCCCTGGAAGAGGTGGGACTTTGACTCTATGTACAGCTGAGTCTGGGCTAGGGGTCCGTGGACTGGCCCCTTGGGGTCCCTTTGAGAAGGGAGCAGCCAGCGACCAGAGGCGGAGCCCCAGTCCCGAGTGTCCCCACTCCCGTCTGAGGCTGAGCAGGCTGTGCGTGCCTCAAACAGTCTAACGAGCTAGGTCCCGGGGTCCCAGGATGGTTCCTGCGTCCCCCGCCCTCCCACTGCAGAGCTGAGACTCACCAGCCGTGAGCAGGGGCTGGAGGACGAGGCTGTTGATGCGGGCGAGGGTGGAGGAGAAGACCTCCTCCAGCCGCAGCAGGGCCTCCTCCTCAGGGCTGCACATGGCCAGAACGCTGGACTCGGGGCCTGCGAATGGGGCCCAGACCAGACAGAGGGCGCCAGCGAGAGCACGGTCAGTGCCACGCTCTCAGCCCACGTGCCCGGGACTGCCCACAACAGAACGGAGTGGTGAGCCCGGGGCCGCCTCAGAGGGGAACGCCCGGACCAACCACTGACCCCTGCCCTGCTCTGCACCTGGGCCCAGCAGAGGGGACCTGATGGAGAGGCAGTGAGGGCTCAGAACTGCCTAGGGAAACACCTCTTTTTAGCCCAAAAGGCAGGTGCTCCTCAAGCCCAGTTCTGGCCTGCTCATTCCCCTGCTCAAACATCCACCATGGCTCCCGAGGTTCAGAGTAATATCTAGTGGTGCTCTGACCTAGCTCCCCCTCCACAGAGTCTCTGGAAACAAGGACACACTGTCAGAGGAACCCAGCTTTTTTCTCAAGGCCATGGCTCAGGCCATGCAGATGGGCACAGTGAGAGCAAAGGATCACGGGCATGAGGGCCCAGGCTCCATGCGTGGCCCACAAGAGTGGCCTACGTGGCCAGTGGAGGAGTTATGGAGGATCTCAGGGCAAGGGAGCGTGGTAGGACCCAACATCAGACTTGGGGAGATGGATGTGGTGACAGCTGGAGAGGAGACGGGGCCCAGCAGTGGCAGAGTGAGGTCAGCAGGGGTGAGAGCCAGACCCTCCATGCCCCTCAACCTGGCTGACCCTGCTGTGCCCAGAGGAAAGAGGTAGGGGTTGTGGGGGCGGGCAGGTGGGCTTGAGTCTTTGGACTCCCCACCATGGAGTGACGGACCCACCAAGCAGGCAGGGAATCCCCTGAGAATGTGGCTCTCTGACGAGAGGGAGGGTCAGCAAGGGGCCTGGGCTCCAACCCACCCCCACAGCCAGGCCGCAGCCTCCAAACAGACACAGCGCTCTCCCACCAGAGCCGGGTGCCCTCACCGAGCAAACTTCATCTGCCCGAAGGACCAGACCACACATCTCAGGGTCTCTTAGCCTGAGACCCTCAGACTGCCTGTCCCTGGCTCTGACACTCAGAGGCTCTGCCGTTAGCTGACCTAGGTGGGGTGGGAGATATCATCGGGGTCGCCGGAATGGGCAGGTGACACAGGTGGAGCCCCAGCGCCCTTTCCAGGCCCCTGACAAAACCTACAACTCCCAGGGAACAGGCTCTGGGGCAGCAGGGCGGGTGTCTCAGAACTCTGGCCAAGGGCCCAGGCCCCGGCATTCCTGCCCCACCTTTCCTGCTGCTGCTGCTTCAGGAGGGCGAGGCCTTGGGAGGGACCGACAGGAAGGGGAAGCGGCCAGCTGCCCAGCTGTGGCCTGCTCTCTCTGTGGGCCCCTGTGGCAGCCCCAGTACCTCCCCCCACCCCACCTGGGGCAGAGGGACAGGTGGCTCCATGTCAACTCAGGCAGATCCGCAGAGCTCAGCTGAGGGGTCAGGGGTACAGCAAGTGGGGCCCGTCCCCCCCCCCGACCCTCCCCCATAGCTCCAGAAACTGACAGAAGGGAAAGGCCCTTTGGGGGGTGGGGGTGACCTTTCCATCCTCAGTTGGCAGCCAGTCAGTAGGGGGTGTGAACTGAGAGGCGAGGACACTGGCTAAATAAAGGTGGAGGAAGAAGGTGCAGCCAGGACAGGAGGTGTGGACTAGGAACCAGATCAGGGCGAGTGGGGACCTGCAGTCGGTAGCTCGAGGCCGAGGGGCCCTGAACACCAGGCATCCCCCACACTCACACTGACCTGGGGTCCACCCCAGCCACATTGCACCCCAGATAGAGCTCTCTGCCCCTCTCCACCTCAGGCGTCCCCCGCCCTTCGCTGGGGGGCTGGCAGCTACCCTTACCCTGGACCCATGGCCCATACCTCAGCTGCTCCCACAGGACCCCCTGCCAACCCCCTACCCACTGCTCAGTCCTGGCCATGCTTGTCCAGAGCCCTGCTCCCCTCTGGGCTTCAGTCACCTCCTCTGTGAAATAGGGGTGCGTTTAGATCAGAGCTTTCAAACTATGTGAGTCCTCCTTAGAAACGATAAACTGGTGTGGGGAGTTGCTCTGGGTGCAGAGACCTGGTCCTCAGCCTCCTTCACCGCTCAAAGCAGCCTAGGGACCCTCCGGATGAGTCTTACAGACCCAGACTGGCATTTACTCCAGGACCCTTCCAGATCTGTGGCTCCAAAGGGACGTCTACCTCTAAGGAACTGAGGTACACTGCTCAGAGAAAAGGCCAGCAGTTAAGCATGGCTGGCGAGGCAGTGGTGGGGAAGGCTGCGGCTGAGGTTGGGGATCTGGTCTGGTGGTGCCCAGGTCCCCGCTCCCCAGCTAGAGAGCTTGGGCCTTCATCCTGGAGGCAACCAAGAGAGTGAGAGCAGGGAGCAGACCATGCACGAGTAGCAGGAGTGTGTGTGTTTGGGGGTAGGGGGAGGTGCTGAGCCATAACGTGAGAGGGACCCAGCAGGAGTAACCCCTGCTCAAACCCATCACACCCCTAACCCACCGGGCTCTGGTCACGAGTATGGCCTCCATACCCTCTCCCTCCACCCAGTTCTAAGGTTCCTTAGTGTTAGGCTGCACATGAAGCACCTATGGAGAAACTGAGGCCGAGGAAGGCAAGAGAGGGCTGAGACGCTATCTGTAGAGCGTGTCTGTAGAGCATGTGCACTGCTCAGACCCAGGCCTCTGGCTGCCGGTCCTGCCGGGTCACCTGAGTGAGGTGGTTCAGAAAGGCTGGGCGACTTGCCTCAGGGCACACAGCAAGTTCCCAGCAGGACCCAGCCTCCTACCTCCTCAGGCAGCCTTGGTGCTCACTGTGGGGCAGGGTGAGGACAGAACTGGCTAGTCTTGGCGTGCCCAGGTGAGTCAGCTGCCCTTCCCCTGTCGATCTAACCAGCCGCCAGACCTGCTGTCTCCCCTGCATTCCTGGCCTCTCTCCACGCCTGGTCGCTCTCAGGCAGGGTCACCGAAGCCTCCCTTGCCCTCTCCAAGACCTGGCCCCCCGGGCCCCTCAGGCCCCTGGGCCACACCCTGTCATGGCACCCACTCTGGTATTTCCTGGTGTGGACAAGCAAGGAAGTTTTGCTTGCTCTGGACGTTTTTCTCCTGGGCTGCCCCAGAGACCCCTAAAACAGCCCAGTGGTAGACACAGGACAGAGGAACTGCCCCAGGGTGGGGGTGCTCAACTGTCACAGCTGACCCCTCAGTCTCCACTTTGGCTTCTCCCCCCAGCACTCCTTCTTGGGCTCTCCATGCCTCTAAGCTTCTTGTCCTATACGCCCCCACCCCCAACCCTTCTCAGTCTCTGACAGCTTCCCTGCCCCTCCCTGCCTGGCACACGCACAGTCACTGGAGTTTCCCAAACATGGGATCCTGTCCCAGCCACCAGGCATTGCCCATGCCGGTCTCACTGCAGGCGTCACCTCCTCCTGGCAGTCTCTCAGGCTGGATGGGGTCCGGGGGCGGCCCTCGCACCCCAGCCCGGGACCGATCCCCTGCGCGGTGCACGAACCCCGGGCGCTATCTCTGCGCTGCCCGTAAATCCGAGCCGGGTAACCGCGGGGCAGGGAGAACGAGGCTGAAAGGCCGAAGGGCCCTGGCACGGGGCGGGGAATGGGGAACGGGGCCGGTGCCTTGGGACAAACTCAGACGGCCCCCATGTGAGCGCCGCCTGGGACCGAGGAGCCGTGGAGGGACGGCGACGCGGCGGCCCGAGGGGGCGCTAGGCGAAAGTCCCACCTGGAGTGAGGGGCAAGCGGGAGCACAGGAGCCCGCCCACAGACGCGCGACCTCCGCCCCGCCCTTAC